TTCAGGTTTAAAGAGTGGTCAGAATAAAAAAGTACCTAAGGGAGGTTAGTCTGGTGACCCCCCAAACTTGGGTTGTTTAATCAGGCTGGTTTCTATTAATCACATAGTGAATACTTATCAGAAGAAACAGGGTCAGATAACTAAGGACTTCCCTAATGGTCACAGTGAAAGACACCAGAACTAGGGTCAATGAGAGAAACCCGAAGCTTCTGTAATGCTTTATGCCTCAGCAGAGACACCATTATGGACTGGGGAAGGGGATATGTGATGCAGAAGTAGGGAAAGATGACTTCCTAAACAAGCAACCCTTCTCGTTTAGAGCTAGAAGAGATCTGTGCCCTGGAGCCTAAAGGGATGGGGTAGGGTGGGGGGAGGTGTGAGAGAAAAAGGAACAGTGGCCTAGCTCTAGGTTCCACTGCCAAGTGGCTGACACTGAAGGTGAGGTGTGCCTGACCCATGCTGGGGAGGGTACTTAATTACAGATGTGGTTCCAGAAACACTTCACTGTTAAAAACATGGATGGAAATGGAATGTTAGAGGGAAAACAGAAAGCCAGAGAAACTGAGACAGAGGAGGAAGGGGGAGGGGAGGGAGAAAGGGAAGATACAGAAAGGGAGGAGATGGATCTGGAAGGTTCATAGACATGGCTATGAAATCCCAGAGAATATTTGTGCTCAACACACATCCCAGGTAGCTCAAGCTGTTCTCCTTTTACTAGTAACAGAAAATCCCTGAAGGTCTCTTGTTGGGGAAACCTCACTCAGGAGTTCAGGGCCAAATTTCCCTCCCCCAAGGCTGCTTCAATATGTAATGGTTTGTTATCCTAGGATCTCCCCCCCTAAAGTTTCTGGAAATCCTTTGACACACCTAGGTGGTTCTCATGGGGGGGGGAGTGTAAGGGGGAGCCAGAGCAGACAACACAAGCTCCTTAAACCTGCTTCTCCTCTTACTCTTCTAGCTGACACAGCAGTTGCCCCACCCATCCCACCTGCCCCACCTTCTCACCAATACCCAAAGCTGGGCAAGGCAAGGGAAAAGGCCTGTCCTAACATGCACCAATGGCACCAGTTGACATCCATTTGCTTGCCTCCCCACATCCTTCCATATATGCATTGGTATTCCAAGTGGTGGGGGGCAGGGGAAGAATTCAGCATTCTACCCCTATCCTCCAACCCCAAAGCAACTCTCCAGGGGCTTCCAGAGATTCTCGAGGAACAATCATAGCATCAGCTAATTCTCTTCATTGTACAGTCAGTCAACAGACATTTATTAATCACCTACCATGTACTATGCTAAGTGCTAGGGATAACAAAGAAATGTAAAAGACAGGAAAAAAAATGGTCTAGAGACAAGATGGGATCTATTTAAGGTCACACAGCTCATCAGAAGTGGAACAAGGATTAGAACTCAGGTCTCTTTCTCTCCCAGCGATCTTGACACTCCCCCGTGTTAGAATAGCACCCTCATGGTTCTGACTACAAGATTCAGGCTAAGGTGGGGGAAATGATTACAGTGTTGATATGATGTCTAAAAGTCTGTTCAGAAAAATTGAAAGAGTTTTAGACCTGAAACCAAAATTCTGGGTTCAGGCTGTGCTACATATGAGCTCCAGGATTATGGATAATGCCCAGCCTCAGTTTCCTCAAGTGTACAACAGAGCTAATAATACTATCTCATTGTATTGTTGTGAGAAGATTACTTTGCAAACTATAAAGTCTAAAATCAATTCAGGCTGCTATTATCATTGCAGTGAGGTGACTTAGTTGAGACCTCTGAAAAAATCTGCTCTTAGAAAAAAGGCCAGAATTGGGGGGAAGGGAGGCAATGGAGACTTTTCATAACTATCTCTGTTCCCTCCAGGGATTCCATTGTAAATCAATAACCACTTCTATCCCATGCTCCCTGTAATCAGCACAGATGACTCTATCCCAGGCTGGAGATATCAGTGAAGCAACAAGACTTCTAACCGCTGCCCCCCACCCCCTACTTCACCCTCCTGTTGTCTCAGCCTCATCCTCATGACCTGTGCCTTCTTTTCCTTTAAGTACAAACTACCTTCATGTAGATAATCCCCTGGGACGAGGACTCCAGTTTGGAAATTTGGTGGTTCTTAGCCTTGAAAAGCAATACCCACCACCACCCACCACCCCCATCAGGGGAGCAGTGGGAATTAGGAACTAAGCTCCCTGAATATTTCATCAACACATTAGCCTCCAGTTAAAGGAACAGCCTACAACTCATGGATAATTTATCATTCCAACTGACTACTAGTAACCAGAGTATGTGAGGGGAGAGGAAATGGAGGGGAGTCAGGATCAAGGGTTTTGATTAGTGTGAATGTTTGGGAGAGAGCTGAGGCAAGGACTTGGAAGAGAGG